AAAAAAAAAAAAAAAAAAAAAAAAAAAAAAAAAAAAAAAAAAAAAAAAAGGTCTTTTGTATTTCATCTGTGCATGTGCTGCTTCATCCATTCTCACCATCTTCTACCAGGACATTTCAGACCATGCTGGTCTCCAACACGGCTCTATAGGTGGTGGGGTTGTGTTCTGTGTCTCTGAAGGTAAATATAAGAATTAAAGAGAAGTCCTCGAGGACCTCCAGGGACCATGGTGAGTGGGATGTGTGTCCCAACACTTGGTGAAGTAGAAACCTGGGTGGATCTTTTTAAGGCAAGACCTGACATGACATTGTGAGCTGAGAATCCAGGCCAGGCCAGGTGAACAACACTAGCATTGGGGTCTACAGATCAGGGTTTGTAAAAGGGGTCTCTCGAGCTGTGCTTTCAGTGATTGCTTTAACAAAAGAAGGTGCACTGCCAGGAAATCAGGTGCTTTTTGTCTAGTTGTACAAAAGCTAGTTCCTGAAGCCCAGTGAATGAATGAGGAAAGGTCTTTTTCAGACAGCGTGCATGTGGGAGTTCCGTAGTGTGAGTTCACATTATATTTCTGACACTGAAGGATGTGGGCAATGTTAGTAGCCTAAATAACATTCAGTTTACCCATCTGTAAGTTGTTGAGCATACTAGAAGTACTAGAGAAATGCCCCTAGATGCCCAGAGAAATAATTGTGAAGTGTGTTTAGACAAAGAGTTAGTATGTGGCAGTTGTATTTCTGGAGTTTCTTCGTGTCGATTCAGCAAGTGAAATTTCTGTTCCCCTCTGGTTCCTTTGCAGCCTGCCTAGCATTCCCAGTTTGAGTTTACAAGTTAATACTGGACCTAGTTTCCCAGGACAGTGACTCCAAGGAGAGAAATTTAGGTACTAGCTGTTCTTCTGGTTTACTTTGGAGTAAAGGAGGTTTACAAAGTTTGAAGGAAGTCATCTTATGAATAGACATTTCACATGAAAGAACCTGAACCCTCTCACTAACACTTCAGAGCGGAGGCAAAAGAGCCCCAGAAAGGACAAGACCCTGGCTTTCCATGTCCCAAGCAATTATTGATCCTACTGCCTACGGTGTACAAGAGTTGAGTGATACTACAATTTCTGGAAATTATTAATGACTTGGTGATATTGGAAGGTTGGACACAATTTCCAGAAGGGAGAGGTGAGTCTGACTGATAATGATAGACAAGGGCCTAGAAAATGTTACTTAATGGAGAGGTCTTTAAGATGTGGATTGGGGTACATTGATACCTTGTCACACCTGAAACTATCTCTCTACAGTGCTCTCTAAACACACTTCTATTTTTATTATTTATTTATTTTTAATTTTCACACATCTAGTTTTTAAATTTCCCCTCAATGACTGTTTTTAGAGATTTAGATCTCTTAAACCTAGTCTATCACCCAATTTGGCATCTACAGATATATTGTGATCCATCCATCCAAAGGTCTTGCTGCTTTTGATTAGCATTATCAGTTTTGCCACAGTTAACTCAAAACAAATATTTTTGCGATCATTTGTTTGACACTTGATATCATATCAAGTAGTAAACTTGATATCATTTTTCTCACACTGAAATTGACTTACATACATTGCTTTATAATGCCTTATTTTAAACATCCATATCTATTTTTAATATCGACACTTTCTAGAGATTATGAGAATCCCATATAAGTATCAGAATTATGTTATGATGTAAAAAACTTAAAACATATTCTTTAATCCCCAGAAAATTGCTTTTGTTTTATGCACATAGCCTGAACCACATTGAAGTTTATTCAATTGATTTTTTTCTGGTTTTGAAAACTTCTACATGTGGTTATAAATTTCTACTTAGTGTATTTGGCATGTAATTGAAAACCGTTTCTCACACTCTTCAAATGGGTAAAAATGTTGACTTTCACATGCTTGGATATATCAGCCTTTCCTGTGTAAGAAATCAACAAAAGTATATTGGCTTAAAAAGAAGCATTTAATTCAATCATCTTTCTATGGACCAGAATTTGGGCTGGGGGCTGGCCCTGTGGCGCACTCGGGAGAGTGCAGCGCTTGGGAGCGCAGCGGTGCTCCCACCACGGGTTTGGATCCTATATAAGGATGGCCAGTGCGCTCACTGGCTGAGCGCGGTGCGGGTGACATCAAGGCAAGGGTTGCGATCCCCTTACCGGTCACAAAAAAAAGACAAAAAAAAATGAATTTGGGCTGGGGTAAGATAGGAAATCCCTCTGTTGGTGCTGTCTGGATTACAGATGAGGTTGTCGGTACCTTGTGCCTTGACTGAGGCTGGTTGGTTCCAGATGGCTTTGCTACATGTCCTGTGTGTGCTGTCTCTTGGCTAGACCATTTTTCTCCAAAAGGATAGCTCCAGGCTCCATCCAAATATGAATGTTTCTAAGAATGCAGGCCCTAGTTGCAGGTACTTTTTAAATGTATGTTTGCATCACATTTACTGATGTCCTCTTGACCAAATTAAGTTCAATGGCAAAGCCCATGTAGTCAGAGGGGACTACATGAGGGTGTGGATACTTGAAGGTTTGTCATTTGGAACCATTACTGGAACAGTATACCACAAGAAGTGTAATTATGTATTTTTTCTAGACAAATTTGAGTGAAAAATGTTGAATTGCAACATGCATATGTTCCAGAATATTTACATATATAAAAGCTAGAAGTGGCATAATGGAAACACTTATATGGAGTCCTGCATTGTATCACTGAATTAATAGGAACATAGGTCATGTAGCCCAAATTGTTTATTTGGTTGCCTTTTTTAATATACTTTTTTGTCCAATTTCTCTGGTTAGAAATTTAAGTACTATGATGAATGAATGTGGAGAGGGTGCACATCTTTATCTTATTTCTGATCTTCCAGGAAAAGTTTTAAACTTTTCACCATTGGGGATGGTGTTAGCTTTGGGGTTGTCATATGTGGCATGTAATGTGTCAAGGTACTTTTCTTCTGTTGACCTAGAAAAAATACAGTAGAGAATAATAATCTCCAAATATGTTGAGTTTATTCATGAATATAAAATTGGATTAATTTCTGGAATACACACCATAACAAGCCATGAAGGCATTCTGTGAGGGAAGAGTGAGAGAAGCTTTCATTGGCATAAAGGGAGAAGTTCACATAAGCTGCTTGGAAACAGTTCATTGGTGTTAGAGGCTCAGTGTCAGATTTGTCATCAGTTCATAGGTTGAGACGTCATTACTGAGCAGTTTGTTTCTGGAGCATCTTATCAGAATTGCTGCAATGGCAAACAATGTTTACTGACCAACTTTGTTAGAAATGTGTGTTTGTATAAAGCTGCAGATGCACTGAAGGTGTCAAGGGATTTCTGATGGGTTTTTAGAAGGTCTTTGGAAAAATTCCTGCCTCAGACAAGGAAGCATGAGCTCACTTTTTTGGTGCCATTTCTGGCTCTATTTTCTCTGTCTCACATAAATTAATTTTATCACCATTTCATTTTCCCCTTTCATCAAGAGCTTTATTTGAAATAATCACTGATAAATAAGTCTAATATCAGATTTTATGTGTCCCTTGATGCTGGGACGAACATGTTCCAGTTAGAATAATTGGGGGGCAGTGAACTGCTATTAGTCAGGAGCCTTTTAACTACATTTGAGAAATGGAGAGGCCCGAAACAGTTCATTTGGGGCCTGAGTTGTATTGATCTTATCTTTAAGTTTTATTTATCTGTTTTTCAGGTATCAGTTAACATCTCAGAGCACTGCACAAACATTATTTTGTCAGGAATGGCATTTCTCTACAGATTTAATAGATAATGAGTACACAGTTTTAAAAAGAAATGCAAAGTAAAAATACCAGAAACATGACCATTCCAAGTTGTCTAAGGGTTGTAAGCCATTAACATAGACTTAAAGGTATTTGGTTATGTAAATCAAAAGACAATGGAGAACTAGGTGAGGCTTGCAGTAGTCTCTTGGCTTGTTCTCTTATTTTATGAGAATGAATCTCAATTGCCCCAGAGGAATTTACTCAGGCACAGCATGTAGTGTTAGCAATAACATAGACAACATCTTCCTGAGCTAATAATCCAGAACAATTCTATTATCTAAGACTACCCTGGCTAGAGATGTTAATGTTCTGTTGCTCAGCAACAGATTTTGCAGTGGAATCTGCAAAAATTCATAGGGCAGCACCTAGACTTCTTATCATTCCTTCATTAGTGGCTATACTATAGGTGGTTCAAGAGATCTGCCAAAGGAAGCAATTCTAGAATCCCATAATTCACCAGACAAAACACAATTAATCCTTTGATGTAGTGAGTGGGGATTAGTCCAATGAATATTCCAGTGATCAGCTTTAGACTCATTATGTATGATAAGAGAACAGTCAAACATCCCAAGCCACACTGGCCTCCTGCTGTCCAGCTGACTAAACATTTAGAGGCCCAAATAAAAGTATCCCACCTACATAAGGAAATGTGCCTGATACAAGTACAGACAATTCTTCCGTCTAAGAATTATTATATGTAATGAAATTAAGCCAGGAGTTAGTTATATTACTACATGTGGCTGATGGTGACTCCTTTTGAGACTGTTTTCAATAACATTTTAAGAATATCTTAGGGAGACCCAAGGAATTTTTTAAAGAAGGAAGAACCATTACACATTTCTAGGGTCCTGAAACCGGGTAAAGCTTTGGCTTGACTCTGCCTGTGACCTGGGTCGGAGTGCTTCCCAAACCTCCTGGTATCTGGGCTGTTAACATTCTGGTCTCCTGAGGCAGAAAGGTGAGGCCTGAGACCCTCTCTCCATGAGCCCAGAGGTTCTAGAACCCACATGACCCTCAGACTTTAAAAAGAAAAAAGGAGGGTGAACAAGCTGGAATACCAAGCCAGTCAGTTCCGTGCTGTAGTTCTCACTGGTTTACTGAGATATAGAAATGTGACTTGAAGCTATGTGTAGTTTGTAACATATGGGCACAAGATATATAACTGACACTTTTGACAGTAATGTGTGAAAAACTCCTAATGTGCAGAAAGTCAATCAACCTTGTCTTCAACTCTGTGCACTCCAGGTAGGTTTCAAATTCCCCAATATGCATAAACCCAGTGAAAGCCAATGAAGGGAGTCAAGGTGTGAACTTCCTGAACCCAAATACATTGAATTAAGTACAAAGAGATTTTTTTCTCTTGACTGGCTCCCACACCAGGTAGGTCAGTGACATGATGGGTTTAATGAGAGAGGCCCACCCAGGCTTCCAGACTGGAGAACGTGTTACCATGGAAGAAGGGAATACAGCATGGTGAACAAATTCTACAGCAGGCCTGTGACCTCAAGCAACAAACCTAAAAGTCAACCTCTCATTTTTCTATGAGATGGAGTTAATCACCCCTGTGTTAGACATGAAATTTTGATACAGTATCAAAACAACTTTTACACTAACTGGAAATTATATAATCCATTGAATGACAATAAATAAGTCACATGTACATACTGGTATTTAGAGTAGCCTGTGCTTCTGCACATAAAATGAAAGAATTAACAGAGTGAGGAGTAAACCACAGATTCACAGTAAATATCTGCAAACTATACATCTGATAAATGGCTGATATCCAAAACATATAAAGGATTCGATGTACTTGATAAGAAAAAAAATAACCCTACTAAAAAAAAAATGATCAAAGAACCCAAATAGACCTTTCTCAAAAGTAGACATGAAATGGCCAATAGAAGTATGAAAAAAAATCTTCACCTTCACTAATCCTGAGAAACACAATTTAAAAACCACAATGAGAACACATCACATTGTTGGAATTATTATCAAAAAGATGAAAGCAAACTATTCATGAGCATGTGAATAAAAGAGAACACTCATACATTGTAGTTAGGAGTGTAAGAACACCATTTTGGAAAGTAGCATGAAGTTTTTGCAAAGAGCTAGAAATAAAACTGCCATAGATCTAACAATCCCACTTCTGAGTATATATTCAAATGAATTGAAATCATTTTGTTGAAGAGATGTCACCATTTCTATACTTATTGCACCATTATTTACAACAGCCAACACATCAGTACTACAGAAATGCTCATCAAGTAATGAACAGATAAAATAAGTGTCATGCTATAAAAAAAGGAATTCTACTCAGCCTTTAAAAAAAATTGCCAATTGTGACAACATGAATGCATCTAGTGCACATTATATTAAGAAAAATTAACCAAGCACAAAAAACAAACACCACATTTTACTTTTATGTGGTCTACAAAAACGTCAAACTAAGAGAAGTAGAATATAGAATGGAAGTTACCAGAAGCTTAGGGTTAGGATGGGGATCCAAGGTAAACGTGGACATATTGGTCAAAAGGTTCAAACTTTCAATTTGGCAGGAGTAAGTTCTGGTGGTGTACTGTACAGCATGTTGAATATAGCAAAGAGTAATGCGTTATATATTTCAAAGTTGGTAACAGTGGATTTTAAATGTTCTCACCATGAAATGATAAGTATGTGAGGTAATGAAGGTTAATCAGTCTGATTTTATCATTTCACAATATATACATGTGTTGAAACATCACATTGTACCTGATGAACATATAAAATTATAATCTGTCAATTAAAACAAAATAAATTTTTTAAAAGGCAGGAATTACTCAAATGAATTTTTAAAAATACAAACAAGATAAAGCCAAATATTTTGCATAGGAAAAACACTTTAAATTCAAAGATACAAATAGGTTGAAAGTTAGTGAATGGCAAAAGATATGCAATGTAAATGGAACCAAAAGACAGCTACGCTGGCTGGACATACTAATATCAGACAAAAAAAAATATTAAAACAAAAATGTTGCTGGGGATAAAGAGGGACAGTTTATGATGACAATAGTGTCAGTCATGAAAACTTCATGACACTTATCGATACACATGCACCAAACACAGAAGCCCAATATTAAATGAAAATATTTAGGGAAGAAATTAAGATAGAAGTAGACCATTCTATATAAATATTTGGAGATGTCCAGTGCAACTTTCACTAATGGATAGAAAAAGTAGGCAAAATACAGACAATAGTGTAGGAGTCCTGGACAACATTATAAAGCAAATTGACTATACAGATATGTATATGTACAACATGCCACCTAACAACAGAACACACATTCTGTTCAAATGTACATGGAAGGACCCCAGAAAAGATCATTTGCTAGACTATAAAATAGCCTCAATAAATTTAAGGACTGAAATCACACAAAGTATGTTCTCTGTCCACAATAGATTTAAATTGAAATTGATTAACTGAAGGATATTTCAGTAGTTCATAATTATGTAAAAATTAAACAACAAACTCCAAACAGCTAATAAGTCATAAAGTCACACACACAAAAAATTAGAAACATTTTGAGACTGAAAACAAGAACATGACATACCAAAACTTAAAAAGGAGTTAGAGGGCCGGCCCGGTGGCGCACTGCTACAGTGCGCTGCTTGGGAAGCGCGGCAGCGCTCCCACCGAGGGTTCGGATCCCACATACAGACCGGCTGCTCACTGGCTGAGCAAGGTGCGGGAGCAACACCGAGGGTTGCGATCCTGTTGCCGGTCCCGGTCC